TTTTTGTTGTTGTTGGCCAAAAAAATTAGTAGTAGAAGTAAGTAGTAGTTTCCGGCTTTCACACACAACTTTTGCTGCTAAGCTTTACGCTGGACATGTACTTGTATGCCCAAGTGTTTGTTAAAGACTCTGTGGGTATATCCTTATACACGTATTCAAAGCATGAAAAGGTCGTTAAAACTTTATGTTCGACTATGCGTCTGTAGTCTGGAGTATATTATTCGCTAACAAACACTTACTCATACAATATACTGCTAGAATGCTTGAAAGTGTTTGATAAGTTCAACGCTGCATGCATATACACACGTACATACATATGTAAGTATGTACTGTATTTGATATACTCACTACTACGGCACTCGTGTTGGCTTATCTGAGGGTAGTGAGTATAAAACTTTTAAATAATTAAAGCATTTTTCGCTTACAGCGCTTAGCGGTATATGCAACATGCTCCTAAATACATGGTTAAGTGCAAAGGATATACACATTCGGTATGTATGTATGTACTCGCATGTCCTACAACAGCAAAATGGTAAATGTTGAATAAAAGCAGAAGACTGTTGAGTAGTACTGTGAATGTACATATTGTAAATATATATGCTTGTACATACGTATATACATGTGTGTGTGTGTGTGTGTTCAAATGTGGGTTATAAATATTTATATGTATATATATATGTACATATATCTAAGTGCATATGTTGGCTAGTTGTGTTTACTATCACGTTTTTTGCCCATTTTTTTGGTGTTGTTCTTGTTGTTATTTTTGCTCACTGCCTTCAAGTAGCCAGCATAAAATAAATGTGTAGATAAAAATAGTCAGACACATACATACATATGTGCATAACTATGAGCTCGTAAGCTTTTGCTTTGGGATTTTCCACATTTGGTTTCTGTTCAACGCCAACTCCAGGGAGAATTAGTTTTTGGGGTTGATTTTGTGTGTGTGTTCTTTTTTTTTGGCTTGCTTTGGTCACGATGAACATAAATATGATTTTAATTTAATTAGAATAAGGAAGGGAAATTAAATTTTGGACATATTAATTAAAATAAAAGCGCTTTGCGTTTCTATTATTATTCAATTTCAAAATTCATAGCTTGGTAGGGCTTATCAGTCAAATTCCATATTATCCCCTTCACTCTCTTTGCTTTCAATGATGTATAGATGTTATCTACACCGACTTCAGCAAAGCATTGCATAGAGTTAATTACTCAATTCTCATCCATGCACAGCACCTTCTGTGGTTTCTCAAGGTAGCCATCTCGGCCCGATTTCGTTTTGGTTATTCATAAATGATATATCTTCCATAATAAGACATTAAAATATCTCGTTATATATAATATATATATAAAACTCTTTATGTCACAAACCTCATTCCACGAAAGACGTTACAAAACTATCTAGACAATTGAGATATCTGGTGTGTTAACAACGACATGTCTTTGAATCTTCTGAAGTGTAAGACCATATGCTTTTCACGAAGACTTCTTCAACCTTCTCCTTATACAATTAATATTTGTTGATTGGGTGTTGTGATGGACTAGTGTTACGTGTCGCATCATCATGATCTTTCGCGCTAAAAGTTAGTCTTTAGCAGTTTTTCGATTGATTGACTCAGTACGTTGTGAGCGCTCATCAAAGATGGACACCAGCAAAGCGGAATTGTGCTATATTTTACAATTTTTCTTCGATCAAGGCGAAAACCAGCCAAAATGGCTTAAAAAATTTATTTACTTTATGGGCCCGATACTGTAAACGAACGTGTAGCACAAAAGTGGTCCAGACGGTTGCCAAGACCAGAATGACGGTGAGAAGGGTTTTACTGTGTGTTTGGTGGGATTGGCAAGTAATAATCTACTACGAGCTGCTCCCCTATAGCCAAACACTCAATTCGGCCGGCCCTCTACTGCCAAGAAATGGACCGCTTGAAGGCAGCACTCATCCAGAAGAGGCCATCTTTGATCAACAGAGGCCGAATTGTGTTCCATCAAGACAACGCCAGGCCACACACGTTTTTGGTGACGCGCCAGTATCTCTTGAGAATATATTCTCACAAACTTCTCTTAAAGCCAAATAATTCCCCTTAGACATGAACCGATGGTAATCACTTGATGCGAGGTCCGGACTTTAAGGTTGATGCATAAAAACCTCCCAACCAAACTCTTGAAACTGCTGACGAGTCATTATCGATGTACTAGTTTGGCGTTGTTGTGATTAAACACAATTCCCCGCCTCTTGATAAAAGTTGTGTACTTGTGGGTGGTTCTTTCTTTCAGACGGTGCAATTGCTGAAAGTAAACATCCGATTAAAGTGCTTGGCCGTAGAGAAGCAGCTCATGGTAGTTGATTCCTTGCCAAACTCACCTCTTCCAATCTCACCACCACAACAAATCTCCGGTAACAAACGGAACGAAATTAAGGAAATCAACGAAACCAAAATTATGCAGTCTGGGTCCCACACTTTCAGCGGTGTGACAAGCTTTTCGCCTTTATCAATGAAAAAACGTAGAACTATTTTCCCCTTGATGATGTCCATATTTGACTTGTTATCAAAGACTACTGAGTTAAATGATCAGCACTTCTTCTCATTAGTACAAAATATCGTTCTTCTAATGCCATCTAGCGTAATCCATTCGCACTTATAGAACCCGAGATTCAGATCACTAAAACCATCTACTGCTCAAATAAGAAAGTGATATATTTTCTCATTCCATCATATATCCTCTATTAGGGAAAGGTCTATCGAACCTTGCCAAAGACATGTTCGCAATTCTTTGGAGTTATCGCATTATTTTACAAATATTCTTCATGAAAAAAATTAATTTAGTTTATGATCCCGATACTGTAAACGAACGTGTAGCACAAAAGTGGTTTGTTTGGTTCCGTTCCGGTAATTTCGATGTTCACCAGGGTTTGCTGTGTGTTTGGTGGGGTTGGCAAGGTATCATCTACTACGAGCTACTCCCCTAAGGCCAAACGCCATCAACTGCCAACAACTGGACCGCTTGAAGGCAGCACTCATCCAGAAGGGGCCATCTTTGATCAACAGAGGCCGAATTGTGTTCTATCAGGACAACGCCAGGCCACATACGTCTTTGGTAACACTCCAGAGGCTCCAGGAGCTCAGATGGGAGGTCCTAATGCACTCATCTTATAGTCCAGACCTGGCACCAAATGGTTACCATCTTTTCCTGACCATGACGAATGCGCTTAATGGTGAGAAGTTGGCCTCAAGAGAGGCATGTGAAAATTGGCTCTCCGAGTTTTATGCCAATAGGGACGTAGTCTTCTGCGAGAGGGGTATAATGAAGTTAGCTTCTCGTTGGCAACAAATTTACAAACGAAATGGCACATATTTGACTTAAATCGGACAAATGTACACAAAGTCATCATATTTTGAAAAATCAAAAAAAAAAAAAACGGAATGAGCTTTTTACTTGACCGAATATTTTTGAAAAAAAAAAATTAGTGAAACTACCTACCTTTTCTTGTATCATGGCTCTGGCTATAAAAAATACTAGGAGATTGTTAACTGGTTCACAGGGGTTCGGAAGTACTTCTTGTTATTTTACTAAAGTCGTTCAGCTTTAAATAAGTTGATTTATTACGACTTGTTTCCATTTCAAGGATTGATATCATTTATTCATTGAGAAGCCTGGCCACCAATGCCTTCTTTGAAGGTTTGCTATCAATTTTACTTTGGAACACTTCATAATTCCTACTTTCTAAATTCAGACAATTTGAAAAACCCAGATAAGATATAACTCCACAACGAAATAAAACCGTCATACTCATAACTAACCATCGCTTGGCTTGAGACTTATTCTCTTCAACAATGAAAGTTGGGAGAAAAAGCTGTTAATGGATAAGCTCCACTGAGTATTCAACGAAGATTGACAGGCACGCTGAAGAAGTAAAGTCGTAAAAATCCGGATTCTGTATATTAGAAAACACTTCAGCATTGAAAGTTTCCATGCGACTCGCTGGTGGGAACTACGGAATAGGAAGTCTCACATGAGTGATAAGTGATCAGGCTAATTAATAAGTAGATATAAGAGTGTAATAATACACAAATAGCAACAACTATAACTTCATTGATTTGAAGTTAATACTGAAAACCATAGAGTGCTTTAAGGTAGTAGTTTGGTAACTTGCATTTATTGTAATGCTTTTTTTGAAATATTTTATGCGGAATAAATAAAATTTAAACAATTTCATTTAGTAATACATAGACCTATTATTAATAGTATCACAGAATGTAAAAAAATATGTTTTTAATATTTTTTTTTTTAACTTTGTGGTTTCCCAGCACTGAAGTTAGCGTCTCAGAAAAAGGACTCGGCTGGCCTCGATGATTTGGTCGATTAGGAACATCAGAAATTGTAAAATCAAAAAGATTATTATTTTGTGAGCTTGTCATTCTGATTGGAATAAGAATTAAATAATTTCGTTGAAGAATAAAAAATGGTTAGCTTCAAAAAAGTGACTTTTTTACAGTAGAATTCGAACTGAAAAATGGAAAGTTGGCTAGAAAAAATTCTATTTACTGCAAGAGCTATTCGTGAGTGGAATAACATATTCAAATTTCAGCCCATTCGGTTGGGTTGACCGTAAGAACGTTGTTTTGCGAAAAATACAGCTCACCGCGTACTACTACGAGACGCTAACGGTGCTATAACTTTCTCAATATTTCGAATTCCAATCTAAAAATTTTACTTTCTATATTACATAGTACTTTCGATCAATTCTTTCAAACCAAGTGACCAGACTACTTTAAAACGCATTTGTGCACACAAATGGCAACTCTAGAACAAAGCTCTCAGTATTGTAAGGCATACATTTGGGCGCTTTTTCATATTTTTGATGCGCTTACACTCTCTTCGGTGATCTTTCGCTGAGAACAATGTAAAATAATGCAATTAAACAAAACAAAAAAAAAACACTGATATCTAATACAAAATTTTTGCTTTCTCTCTCTCTCTTTCTCTCTCTCTTGCAGTGTAGAACAATGTAAAAGTATATAATTTGCGTGCATTTGGATAAAAAAGTTTTACGTACATAACGGAAACCTAATTTAATTTTTAACGCTTGTAACGGCATTGTAGCAGCCAAATAGAGGAAGTTAAAGCTTAGCTGTAGATTGTATGTAGAATTAGCGAAAAGTCAAACAACTGGAAAATATTTTGTTGTAGAAAAATTTTTGGTGCGAATAACTCCATTAATTTAAGAAGAACAAGAGACAACTAAGTAGCAGCAAAACTCAAAAGAAACTTTAGAAGAACAAAGAGCGCACGACAAAGCGTCGAAAAGGACGGTATAAAAGGGCGAATATAACGCTTGGAAAAAGAATATCACAGGCAGGTGCTGATTAAAGGCTTTTGCTTTTAGAAAAGATAAAAGATTGCAGATGTTAAATAAATAAAAGAAAAAAACACCATTTAACAGCGATTTTCAAAACAATTTTGAAGTTATCAAACAACAATAACAACAACAAAAAAATTAAACAGCACGAATTTCAAGTAACAGACAAACTAATTTAAATTGACGCGTATAAAAAGTGACATCAAAAATTTGCAAAGAAAAATTGCACAAAAAGTTGAAAAAGTGCAAAGTGTATTAAAAGCGTGCAAATTGAGAACTACAAAATAACGCTAGTGTTTTTTGTCAAAACTCGATAGGGTTGTGGGCATCCTTTCAAGTGTCAACACCAGCATAACAAAAACATTACGTAAATTTTAACCATAATTTTTTTGTTGCAATTTCTCAGTAAGCAGAGAAAAAGCGTGTATTTAAAAATAAAAAAAAATTAAATTAAAATAAATTTACGCCTTAGCGGAAAAACATGTCAACGCCAACAGCATTGTCCTTTGCAAGGATGTGGCACAATCAACATACAAACCAGCAAGAACAATCTTCACGCAAAATGCAACGTGCAACGCGCTCACTATTCGCACGTTATTGGCCTTTAGCCATTATTTTGGTGCTACAAGTGTTGTTGGCCAACAACCAAGTGAACGCCATCGATTTGAGTCGTCTCTACGGGCATATGGCAGCTGCTAACGTACAGAAGAGAGGCGGTGAGTAGAGATTACATATAAATATAAGAGCGCTTTTGGAGAATTATTCATTCTCTCCTGTTATTAATAGTTAATAAATCAAAAAAATCCAACAAAATTAAAATATTATATTTGCTGCAAAAACTTAAGACAAATCTGGCGCTTACATTGTGCGTGAAATGATTAAAAATACTTGCGAAAGCTTTGAGGGTTTTTTATTTTGTTTCAGAAGTTATTAGCTTGGTATAAGGTTGAGTGTTAACAGGTGAAAGGAAACTGAGTTTACTTCTTCTTCCGCAATTATAGTCGAATCTATATTACATTCCTCTTTTCTTCACGCTGTCTGGCTCTTGATGGAAATACCAAGTGAAGCCAGGTCGCTCTTTATCAGATCCTTCCAACGGAGTGCTTCCACCAACGGCTACTGCATCGAATACTTTCAAAGCCGGAGTGCTTTCATCCATTCGGACGATATGGCCTAGCCAGCGTAGCAACGGCTTCTCGATACGCTGAACTAAATAAATGTCGCCGTATTACTCGCCAGCAGCTTTAAACTCCTATAAAAGATGGTACCTTATCTACTCAGCTCTGCCGCTGGTATTATTTTCTCCAGCATCAAATTAAAAAAAGTCATACGATAAGGAGTCGCCTTGTCTGAAACCTCGTTTGGTATCGAACGGAACGGCTCCGAGAGGTCCTTCTCGATCCTGACAGAGCTTTTGGTGTTGCCCTCGTTCACTATCAGACTCATATCCTTTGCTTTCTTATCTAGTCTGGGGAAAGTAGAACTCACGGGCGATTGTTGAGGCCAATGATGTCAATAGAAGATTGTACCTTCTCTAATCAGCTCTGCAGCTCATAATATTTTCCCCAGCAACAAATTAAAGAAGTCACACGAAGACACGTTTAGCATCGGACGGCTGGGAGAGGTCCTTCTCGATCCTGAAGGAGCTTTTAGTGCTATTCAAGGTCAGCTACACAGCCGTATAACGACATTATTTCCACTGCAGATGGTGTTAGTGATTTGTATCTCACACTATCTCAGTAGTCACAAAAGATAGAAACACAGTTCAGAGACAGTCAGTCATGTATAGTTTTGGTTTCGTCGATTTTGTTCTGATAATTTTAATGCAACAGAAAATGTCATTGAAATATTAAAAACATCGAGTTTGAGCGTAATGCGAGCACTGTTTGGAAGACTGGATACACATGGGTGTCATATAAGTTAACGAGAAGCAAACCTCATAAAACGAACTACAATATCATCCGTGAATCGCTGCTGAATGATAGCAAAACCGAACCATTTTTCAACGGATGTTGACTGAGTAGAAGGCAGCCGGCTCAGACGCACGCAAAGCCAGGATTGGCGGCCAGAAAGATTGTGTTGTGTGCTTGGTGGTACTGGTAAGAAACCATCCACTATGAGCAGCTCTCCTACCGCCAAACTCTCAATTTGGACCTATTCTGTAAAAAATTAAACTCAGAAGCGAATAGCTTTAGCCAAGAGAAGGAGAATTGCAATATATACAAAAAGGTACACTGAAAAAAATTGATTGTTCAACTTAAGTACTTAAGATTTTAGTGAATATTTGAACTCAATTTCTCCTGATAAGACAATTCGATTTAGAAAATATTCTAATAAAATCTTTCACATTTACCGCCACTCACAGCATCCCAATTAGCCAGAAAGCAATGCGAATGAGCTTTGTATGATATAACACTCGTACGTCCATTCATTTGAATTCCTCTTCTCGTATCTGAAAATACCTTGTCGTGTCTGACTAATGACAAATCCCTCGTTAGAATCCAGACTTTCTTAACGCTTTCAAAAAATGTGTATGTGGGTGTCACAAAAAAACTGAAAGTGTTTGAAACAAAATAATCATAAATTTGTAATGAGAATACACATTCAAAAAGTTTGTCTGGGAAAAGTCGTATTTACCAGTGTTATTAAGACGGAAGAGAATATTTTTAGGCTCACATTTTCATTTAGCATTTTTTTGATTAATTCAATGGACTTATGATTTATATATACGGTTGGTGTTGTGAATTTTATAAAATATTTTCCACAAAAAATTTGCTTATTTTTGTTAAGAGCAAATAAAATAGTTGTTGTAGACAAGTACTTCACTGAAAAAAAAAATCAAAAAGTACTTATTTGTAATAAAATACATTTTCAATTTTTTTTTGCGTTTTTCCAATGTTTCTTTCAAATGAAATCCAATATAAACTCATTTGAACTTTTATCGCATAAATCATTAAAAAAAAGAAACTTGACTTTTTTTTGAATAATTTCAGTTTGTTGTGCAATGTTTTACAAAATGCACATTTTCTGAATACAAAATTAATATTTTGTATATTTTTTTTATAATTTATACCAATATGAATGTTCAGCTGCAGTAACCGAGCGGATTGAGTGGTTAGAAGTGCGTGCTACTTTTCTGTGGGTTACCCTGAAAATCCCGTTTTTTTCTCTATCTGAGTACGCGCTTCGATAGAGAGAGCCTCCAAGTGTATTTCTCACATGAAAGATGAAATCCTTAATCATTACAACTCGGCCAGGTGACTTGAAACATATTTGGGTCATTTTTTATCTCAAAAATTCCAGTCTGTCCAATAAAGAATTAATGACATATTAGTGAGATTTCTTAGGTCGAGGAAACATTCTGGCGCAAATACGAACAACAATAAATACACGTGAAAGAAAAAAATTAGAAAATAAATTCTTTCTCATTTTAAGCGGTCAAAAATCTTTCGGTGCCATCATAAGTGGCACTTTAAATAAATTCAAATAATATTTTTCCTCAAAATTTTTATTACATAAATTATAAACCATTTGAGAACCCAGCAGAGTTTGCATATTACTCAGCAAAACGTTTCAACACGCCATGAAAACTTCAGCATAAACGAAATTCGTCATAAACTTAAGTTGCAATATTAATGTAATAAAATTACTCTTACTCACAAAATGCAGCTCCGGCAAAGTTTCCAAGTGAATAAGTTTATTCATTGCTTTTACCAACTGCCAAATCGCTTTTATATCACCTGACAACTTCGCGCCCGCCCACACAGCGTCTCGCGCATAGAGTCCAAAGTCTTGCCATTAAATTTCTGTTTATGTAATGGTCAATGATGAGCAAAATTTCTACTTTATGCAAACAAATATTCAGATGTGTGCAAATATTTTCTCAATCTATAAATAGTATGTGTGTGTATGTACGTGCTTTTAAAAATAAGTTCAAAAAAAAAAAAAAAATGAGAAAATAAAAATGAAAAACTGAAAGTAGAGAAATTGTCTGCCAAAAATAATCTCTTTATTGTCGAGCTTAATGAAGCATTACCTTTTTCCTTTGCCATTTTTACGTTACGCTTCACACACTTTCAGCGCTTTATATCATTTTGGAAATCATTTTGTGTTTTTGCCTTGGCATTTTGTGAGTGCTTTGGGAGTCTTTTAATGATAGACGAGTGAAAGTTTTTTTGTATGCGCGCGTTACGGCGTCTGTTGTCTTGTTGCTGTCGCAATTTTCGCATTTCGAAATTTCGCTTTTGAATTCATAAATATGGATATCTGTTGCATTTGGTGTGTGTGTGGGTGTGTGTGTCACACAGGGGAGAAGGAAGGTCTTTTTACTCTAATTTAGCTTATTTTCACCGACTTTTTTAGCATAAAATTCAGAGCTGAAAAATTAAACTTTCTTATTGAAAATTCATCAGCCACTTGAAGGTGACTAAAAATTGTGTGATAAAATGATATATATATATATATATATATATGTATATGTATGGTATAGTACATATGTATAGGCAACCGTTTGATTATGGGTTTTTGTATTGTCTGGCATTTTTTAAAAAAGTTATTGAATAGCAGCGGTTTTTAGGCAACGATGATGATGAAAAACGTATGGGAAGGTTTAATTATGATTTATAAAGGTTCTTTATCTGACAAGAGTAAATATTGAAATAAAATTCAAAATTACTATATATTATTTTATTTATATTAATTTATAAAATTTGTTGCAACAATTACTAGCTTATGCCCTCTATTATGGATTTGTTTTATGAAATGTAAAAAGCATAAAAATCTATTTTTTTGGTTCTGTATATTATCTATTATTCCTCTGGAAACCTCAAGAAACTGCGGCCTGTCATATGAGAGGTTCTTAGATCTATTCTAGACTTTAGTAGCATTGATAAAAACATGTCTATTAAGATTGCTGAGTTTTTTGTACCATCAGGTGTACAACTTTGCTTCCGCCGTTTTCCGATAGGTGGCTGTACCGGCTGAGGCTGGTTGAAATACATAGATACATACATGCCTTTAAAGTGAGTGAGTGCGAATTGTCATCGCCGTTTCAGTGACAGTTGTTCTTTTTTTTCGTATTATTCACGCTCGAAAATGTCCGTTTATGTGCTTAATTCTCGCCATTTGCGGGAAGTTTTACTTTTACAGTTACAGTTCGAAAAAAAAAATGCAGCTGAAGCGCATCGAATGCTCTCAGAAACCTACGGTGATGTTGCTCTGAGTGAAAGAACGTGTCGAGAGTGGTTTCAACGTTTTAAAAATGGTGATTTCGATGTCGAAGACAAACATGGTGGCTATGATTTGTATTTGGTGGGATCAGCTCGGTGTGATTTACTACGAGCTCTTAAAACAGTGTGAAAAGATCACAGGAGATCGCTACCGAACGCAACTGATGCGCCTTAGTCGCGCGCTAAAAGAAAAGAGGCCACAATATCAAGAGCGACATGACAAAGTCATCCTCCAACACGAAAATGCTCGGCCTCACGGCGCAAAAGTGGTCAAAAAGTACCTGGCAACGCTGAAATGGGAAGTCTTGCCCCACCCGCCGTATTCCCCAGATGTCGCCCCTTCTGACTTCCACCTATTCCGTTCGATGGCACACGGCCTGGCAGATCAACATTTGCAATCCTTCGAAGAATTAGAAAAAAATTGATTGCTTCATGAATAGCGTCAAAAGAGGATTCCTTTTTTCGAGCCGGTAAGGACAATACCTTGA